CTGCCTCTGCCAGAGGCTGGAGAACAGCCAGGGCCAGGGGGTGGGGGTGGGGGGGTCATTCCGCGGGGCTGGCCCTGCAGGGCCCGCTGTCTCTATCCCAGGCGGCTGCTTGCTCGCCGCGCAGGGTCTGCTGGCCGTGGGGGGCCCCAGCAGCTTCACATAAGAGTCCCAGGGACTAACTTCAACAGACACAGGCTCGGCCTTCGGGCACGGCAGCTCCGGAGACTGGCTGACCTTCGCCCGGAAGACCAGCTGGACAGAACCAGGCGCACACACCAGTTTGACCAGTTTTGAGGCCCTTGTCGGAGTGGGCCCTGCGGGTCTGCGCACAGAGCCCTTCCCACCCCCTGCCCTGCATCTTGCTCTCCTCTCCTCTCCCTCCTCTGAAACCCGTGCCCGGCCCTGGCCGTGCGGTCAGCTGGTTGGGTGTTGTCCTAAGGTTGCCGGTTCGATTCGCTGTCAGGCGTGCAGGGGGCGGCCGTCGGTGTCATGCTCTCACATCCCTACTGCTCGCTCTCCTTCTCCCTTCCTCTCTCTCTAAAAACCAATAAAAAGTCATTAAAAAAACAAAACCCCGTGCCGGGCCGGTTGTGAAGATGGTCTTTGGGGTGGCGCCCCCTTCTCCGCAGGCTGCCGGCTCTGGGATGAACGCCTCCTCCCACCAGCACCTGCCTCTCCTTGTTGGCATTCCAAGCGGCAGGGAGCCAGCCCTGGGCTCAGTATCCCAAGGGCGGGTCCACCTCTGTGGGCCCGAGGGCCCGGCCAGGCGGGGAGGGAGCCCCGCCCGCAGGGGGTAAGAGCAGGCGGACATCGCCGGGACCTGGAGCGGGGTGCTCCGGAAGCCGCCACCACCCGTGGTGGCCTGGTGTTTGTGCGGCCCCACCGGGCACCCAGTGTTTCTGTCTGCTGGGGGAGGGGCATGGGGACAGAAGGAGCGACAAGGACGGGTCAGCCAGGGCCAGGCCCCGGGGACAGCTGGGCCTGGACATGGCCTGGCCCTGGGGGAGGGAGGCAAGATGCTTGCTGGGCCCCAGAGGAGGCTGGGCGAGAAGAGGAGTGAGGACAGTGGGGAGGGGGTGGGCCGCCGCCCCAGGCCTGGCTCCCCCAGCTGGGATCCCCGGAGCCTGGGCATCAGGCAGGGGTGGGGCCCCGATCTGGGTGGGTTCCTGGCTGGAGGGATGGGGTAGCAGGCAAGGAGCCGTGGGGGAGTGGGGGGGCTGTCCTGCTTGGGCCGGGCCGGACACAGAAGAGCGCTGCCAGGTGGTGACAGGCGGTCTGCAGGGGCTCCTCCGCCACCAGATGGGGAAATGCTGGGGGGGTCCCCCTGCTTCACGTGCCCCCTCCCCATCCCCAGAAATAAGCACGTCGACCAGGGATGGGGCTCTGAGCATCTTTATCTGCAAAACCATCCCTGGAGGGTGAGGTGGCCAAGCTCAGACCACGCCCAGGTCATGCCCAGGTCACGCCGAGGCCACCCCCACTCTGTCCTGAACCCCAGCAGGCTCAGCCACCGCCATGAGCTGTGCACAGACCCGGTCATCCCCAGATGGCGCTGGGAGGGCTTCTTGGGCACCTGGACCCCTGCCCACGCCGCCCTGGGGAGGGGCCAGGCCAGTGGAGGGGCACAGGGAGCTGGGGGTGCTGCATGGCCTCTGGGACCTGGAGACACACTGAGCAGCAGCCCCCGGAACCCCGAGGTCTGGGAAGTGAGACCTGAGCCCCTGAGATGCAGGTGGAGGCAGATGTATGTGTGTGGGGACCAGAGACAAGGCCCGCTGTGCCCCGGAGTGGGGTCTGCCTCCAGGGGAGCCCTGCCCACCCCCCCGCCAGCCCTGGGGCAGCGGGCAGCTCAGCCAGCCTCCATGAGGCAGCCTGGGACCGTGCTGAAGGGCACAGTGGCTTCGGGGTCACTTGCTGCCCAGGGTCTCAGAGTCCTGGCCGTGGAGGGGGTGGAAAGTCCCAGCTCCCACTAAGCTGGGAACCTGAGAAATAAGAGAACTTTCTGCAGAACAAAAGCTTTCTTCCTGCCAGACATTCCTCCGTCCAGCGGGAGCTTCCGAAGACACACAAAGAGACAGTGTGTCCCCAGCAGAGGCGAGGGGGGTTGGCACCTGCGTGCAAATGCCTGTGTGTGCACGTGCATGAGTGTGCGCATGTGTGCACGTGTGTGCATGCCTGTGTGTGCATGCTCGCGGGCACGCATATGCATATATACGTGTGCGTGCATGTGCGTGCATGTGCGTGCATGTGTGTGCATGCCTGTGTGTATGCACGTGGGGCACGCATATGCATATATACATGTGCGTGCATGTGTGTGCACGTGTGTGCGTGCCTGTGTGTGCACGTGGGCACGCATATGCATATATACGTGTGCGTGTCTGCATGCATGTGTGTGCACGTGTGTGCGCCTGTGTGTGCATGCTCGTGGACACGCATATGCATATATACGTGTGCGTGCATGTGTGTGCACGTGTGTGCGTGCCTGTGTGTGTGCACGTGGGCACGCATGTGCATATATACGTGTGCGTGCATGTGTGCGCGCGTGTGTGCGTGCACCTGTGTGTGCACGTGGGCACGCATATGCATATATACGTGTGCGTGTCTGCGTGCATGTGTGTGCACGTGTGTGCATGCCTGTGTGTATGCACGTGGACACATATGCATATATACGTGTGCATGCCTGCATGCATGTGTGTGCACGCACGAGCATGAACAGTGGAGACAATGTTCCCACGTCCCCCATCAGCCGGGAAACTGTAGCTCCCACCTCGGCTGGAGGCAGTGAGGTGAGGGGTGGGTCCGAGGCAGGCACAGCGCCCCCTGACCGCCCAGCGGAGGGGGTGGTGGCCTTGGGCCTGTGGAGACACAATCAGGCCAAACTCCCCGTGGGGACAGGA